GAGACCGGTGAATAACTGTTTCGAAGAACGAATGTTCCACGCTAATTGGCACATTTATAAGCGATACAGCTGAGATGTTCCCCGCGCTAATAAGCTCAGCGCTAAGCACAATATCCTTCGTTGCTTATCGAGAGACGCCGCATGAGGTATCGGACTACTAATAAACTCTAATGGGGCTATTAAATGCTTAGTACTGATACAAGTGCCTCTCTATTGTTGCATTCCGTCTAAATTATTACGGTGCTGTCAGGTATGCGGTATTGCATATGCGTACCGCTAGGCCATAATAGTATCTTATGATCAACTGCCACAACGCAGACATAAAGACACTTTTATGTTCCTCGGAATGCATAGGAAAGTAATCCACCTTGATCTCGCGTGTTCCAAATATAGACTAAATTGAAATTTATAATACATTGCAAATTCGAAAGATTTCATCGAATTTCGAAAATTCGAAAGCATTTCTAAACCAAAATCTATTTTATTATTAATATCCTAATATTACCTTAATATTTTAATATTAATCTTACGTGTTCCAAATATAGACTAAATTGAAATTGATAATACATTGAAAATTCATGATTTCAATGGAAGCATTTCTAAACCAAAATCTATTTTATTATTAATATTCTAATATTACCTTAATATTCTAAGTTAATATTCTAATATTACCTCATTAATCATTGAATCCATCGAAGACTCAAATTCCCGCGAATTATCAAGCTTACGATAATAAAATCGTTCTCACGCGTAACAACTTCCAATTGAATCAAAGATTCCATTGTTACTCCAATATTTTCTAAAACACGAGAAGCAAAATATTTCAACGGAAAAAAGGGGAGATACTAAGAGAAACCTTGACAAAATTGCTGTCTTCCATTCAAATCTACGAATTCCAGACATTAGGTTTTCACTCGCGGTTTACTGTACTCGAAAAAAATCGTAACCCCGAACGTTCGGAGCCACTTACAGCGGTGTCCGAAATTTCGCAAAAATTTTTACGGTTTCGTAAAAGTTTTATGATGAACCCGTATTGGCCCTGCTCGCCCCGCGACGAGCGCTGCGCTTCGATGAATTCCGAAACGCGCCTCGGGGAAAATTGTTCTTTAAGATCCAACCGTGTAAGCTATAGCGGATGAAAAGGGGCGAACGGTGGACGCGTTGCAACCGTCGAGCATATTTTTCCATTTGTTCGGCTCTGTCTGCCGCGGCGGGACGTAAAAATTACAGGAAATACGAAGCGAGAAACGCGGAACGGACGCGGCGGGACTATAAAAGATGATTTCGCCGCGTCAGGACGCGCGACTTGTCTCGGGCGTACCCCTAATACGCTCTCAAAACACCATAAACCGGGATACTTGGACAGGTGCGCATCACCTGCGACTGAATCCTTCTCCCAGGCGTATTATTTATTATTAATGTACAGGTGCCCGGTAATTCGGGGATAATATTCGTGGAAACACTGATGGGGAGTGGTTTTTTCTTGGGACGTATATAGTGTTTTGATTAATTGAAGGAACCAAGGGATTTCAGATGTTCTGTATTCGTTTGTTTAATAATTTTGGGATAATTTGGAAACACTGATGTGCAGTTGTTTTTTCTTGAGATGTGCAGTTGTTTTTTCTTGAGATGTGCAGTTGTTTTTTCTATAACTATTATTTTGTTTAATAATTTTGGGATAATATGGAAACACTGAATTCAGTTGTTTTTTCTTGTGACGTTTGTAGTCTTTTGGTTAATTGAGGGAAACAAGGGATTTCTTAGATTTTAGATTTTAGATTTTTAAAATTCTTTTCTCGTGCGTTAGAGTACTCATTACAGAGTAGAATTTTGATATTCCAATGCAACAATTAGTTCTAGCACAAAGGGTTAATCGTCAACTAAATCCAGCAAGTCGCGAAGGAAATCATACTGCGAGGAGCTAAGTAATTACACGCGAAATTCAGTTACAATTAATTAAGACGAAATTACACTTTCTGCCGATAGAATTCCTTCTGGATCGAGGAAAGTCTAGAAGCTCTGTCGTCTTCCGGCGCAGCTGAAGCTAAATTCCTGCGAATCGACGGCCGAGTGGCAGCGAGCTCGCTAAGTGCTCCCCGTCGAACTTTAAACACACTATTTACGACACCAGAAGCGTCCTTCTTCCGCCTGGTTCTTTCCGGGTAAACAGAACCCACCTCGGGACACGAAAAGCGCGAGCGCGCGGCGACAGCCGGCTCCCGCGGCGGAATGTGGCCGGAAAATGGCGGGTCTTAATCTGGATTACGATCGGCGCTGTTTGCCCCTTATTTCGCTCGCGGTGTTTAACCCTTTGGCCTATGATTTCTTTCCCAACTCTGATCGGCACGGCTACTTTGTCATTGATAATTGATTGGAAACAGAGAAATTCTAAGCATATGTTATGCATTTCCTTTTATGTACAATAGTTGATTACAGAGGGATAATATTTACTTTGAATTGCCCTATGATTTCTTTGAAAATAATTTTAAGAGAGAGTTTTCTGAGAAAATAATTTTAAATTAAAACTTCAGGTGTGTTTCGACACCTTCGGTAGAATTAGTGTTAAATTGTTTCTATCTTCGACTAATAATCAGTGAACAAAACTAATTTTGCATTAAACTGAATGCAAAATAAGGGACTAATTTGTTCTCTTCTGTAGCTTCTTTCGCGATGATTGCTCGCGTTTTCATTCGCCAGGGGAATTTATCATGGAAAGTAACACTAACCATACCGACACCTTTCCTACTGTAATTAGTCAAATAACTAGCTACAAAATAGAGCTAAACAAATCAGATGATACATATTTTTTAGTGAAAATAGAAACAAAAGGAAGGTTGAAAATTGAGAAACCAATTAATCAAACAATATGGGAGCTGATATAAAATTAAATGAACAAAAGAAAACGCAAAATTTTAATCCGGTCATTGTGATAAGGAATATGGAGATACTCGGTCAACGTATTTAATTATGAGATTATTTGAAATGGTTTTAATTGGCTGGAATCCGGAATCGATGTGTGGTGTAAATTTAATTCCAGTGGTCTGAGAAATGGAGTTTAGTGTATGTTATTTGAATACATTCGTTGGTTGGCTGTAATTTTGTGGATTTTGTTAATGTACGGTGACAATGTTAGTTAGTTCACATCACTGATTCTGTAGAACGCATCGAATGGGTAATTGAGTTTTCGTGTCTGATAGTATAACGAAATGCAACGGTAGAGAAACTTCCAACGAGCTCATATAAAATTGATGGAGTTTTTGAACGAGACGTATATGATATTATTACTTGCAATTTATACGAGCACGTGCTTCTGTAAAATAAATATTTCACAAGGTTCAGATTGATATTGATCAAGCTGAATTTTCCACGAGGTCCCTCTATTTTTACATTCAACTACACAGGAGAGTTAATATTTTTTGCTGCAAGTAGCGTCAGAAAAAAACCAGGTTATTTATTACTTATTGCATTTCACGCAATAAAATACGGACTCGTGACGTCGATGGGCTCATTTGAAAAAGAATATTGCCATCGAAGCGCCAAATAAATATGCATCGCGTTTATAAATCTTTTAACACAATCTTGAACATATAGAACCCTCGAAAACAGTATCTCAACGTTCGTAAAATAAAAGAAAAACATCTTAAGGCACAAACGAAG